AAGCGCCCCCCCTCCCAATCTCTTACGTTCAAGGAGCAGACGACCGGTTGCCTACCTACTAGGCGGACCCTCATTCGGCATAGTTTTATTCTAAATTTTTTGTGTCTTCTATAAATTTAATGCACTTCGCTCAGCTACCCCGTGCACAATGTTAACGCACGGGGCCCTACGTTTATCAAGCAAAGCTAAGTTTACAATAGTTATCTTGCCGAGGAAAGGGGGAAGGACCTTGAACTCCGGTAGAGACAGTCTTGGGGACTGTCTAAAAATTATTGTATTAATTTCATAGTCTTAGATTCTTACGAACAACAGCGCCTCGTAACGAATAAAGGATTTGGAGCATTAGTAAGACAAACAAATTGTTTGTATTGCGAAAGGGGCTGGTTTGTATTACGAACTTAGGCTGTTCGTAATATGAAGAAAAAAACGCTAACGCTAACGTGAGAGCAGATGACTTAAACGAATAGCTTTGAGCTTTTACTCCAAACTCTAACGTAAGACTCAAAACCAACAACTACATGACAGTTATAGCAATGGGCGCGGCGCGCGGCGTTGAACGCGATGGCGTGGCAAGCGCAGGCGTTTTACTCGACGGCGTTGGACACGCCAACGTTGGACGCGCCCGCCGGCGTTGCACGCATCACCACAGAAGCGTCAGAATTTGGCGTGGCGCGGGTTGACGCGGGACGGTGGGTTACGCTCGCCCTCACACACGCACACTCGGACATACTACGCACGACGTGGCCGGGCGGCCTAGTGTTTAGTGTTTTATGCCCTATTTTTTTATGACGAATCGTAAAACGGCAACCAGAGCGGCCGCCACCAGAGCATAGGGCTGCGCGGGAGCTGCTCAGTGTGAACAGCACTACAGGGCACGGACGGCGGACGGCGCCGACGCTCGAGCCCCGGACTTGGCCAATACAGATACGATTCGACTGCGTTTCAACCAAGCTGCTCGCTTTAACTGACGGACTTTACGCTTTAACTTGCGAACTTTACGCTTTAACAGGCGAACTTACAACTTTACGAGATTACAAGCTAACGATAACTGCGTATCGTCTGCTAAAAATCGTTTGTAATATGGATGCTTCCGATCCTTTGTATACGTTACAAACCAGACTCTTTGTAGTAATACACATAATGCTGTTGGTGAGGAACTAAGAAGAGTATTTGCACGCACCCAACAGCAACATGAGGCCGCACGTTGCCGCCCACACCTGGGGACTCAGCACAACGAACGGGTATCGCCACGCGTCCACGGGTAGTCTGGCCGTCAGGAAGACGCACTGGGACTCCTGGGAGTAGGGGGCGGTGAAGTCGAAGACTTTGGAGCGCTCCACGGTAGGTAACAGGCCACCCACCACCACATCATACTTCTTCAGAGCATCGTAAAAACTGCCTTTGTCCTTCTCCTGATTGACAAACCCCAGTGTTAGCATAAAAATAACCTTGATCTCAGCAAATTTAACGTGAGCGCACCGTGTTGCGTACGAGCGTACATAGAAAAGCCTACTCCTAAACAAGATATGCCCTCACGGATTCAGGAACATATCTTGCCAACGGTTCTGGGTGTACCTGGAACCCGGTGCTGAGTAGTCCAATGGAGTTCATTGCTGCCGTGATCGGCTTAAAGTGCACGGTTGCATTTTTGTCAGTAGCGAAGTAGTCCACCAAGGAGATGTCAGTGCCTTGGAAGCCACCCGCCGGGTCAGCGTACGCAAAGGGGGGATTCTCGAGCGACGCGACGTGGACGTCGCAGCCGTTAAGGGGATACGGTCTGTGGGGCTTCAGGAATCCAACGGCATCCGCAGTGAGGGTCTGGCCCGCAGACCACAACAACGCCAGCGTCGTCGTGGACGGGCCAAAACCACACCGCGAGCCGGGCACGAAACCCGGCCGCGACAGATATACCGGCACCGTCCGGAGACGAGAGCCGTCGTGCTTCTGCACCGCGATAGACGTGTGCATCCACCCCATGCCCCTGAGAGCCGAGACGATGGTTTCTACGTCTGCTCGGCCGTCAGGGTCGCTACCCAGCCCCAGCGCGGTGGTGTAGATGACGAGGATGGGCGTGACGTGCTTAAAGGGCATCATCGTGCTGCCCCCACCGAACATGGTGTTGATTAGGTCGAAGTCACCGGTAGCCGCCAGAAAAAGGACGACCAAGTCAACGTGAATCTGGTGCCATAGCTGCAGACCACGAGGAGACGTGGTAAATTGTGGTTACTAGGAAACCGTTAAGTAATTATACACGGCGTTTAGTAACACTTAAAACATTCTTGATAATTTACAACAACACAAATCTTTGATAGTTACTAGGCAAAATTTGCTGGTTCACAGTTAAGAGTGTATACACCATGTGTCGCTGCGACCAAAACTCTGTAAAATCACCATTTCTTTCTCGCCACGGGCGCCGGCGAGCATGACGATGGTGTATTCGTCGTGCAGCGGCATCAGCTCCTGGCGACAGAGGACGTCGCGGGTCGGGTCGCCGTCGTGCGCGATCAGGAGGTGGCGGTAGCCGTACAGCGG